CTCACCACGGCGAGGAGCTTGGAGGCCTGGGCGAGGCTGCATCGGCGATGCGTGGCGCGCAGCAGCCACTGCGGGTACCAGTGCAGCAGCAGTCGCAGCGAGCCCAGCGTGAGGATGACGAGCGCCCAGCACAGGCTGGTGCGCAGCCAGCAGCGCCTGTAGCCGTGCACCTCCTGTACACACAAGGGCAGCAGTGACGATTGGTCGCATAAACTTGGGAGATACGCGACGCGGCTGATTCGGCCAGCCCACTTTTGTAGTTATGCTGCACCCCGTGCGGGGTAGGCGCGACCGTGCGGGGTGGGCCATCATCACGATCCCAGGGGATTATCCAGAAAACAAGCCTGTCATTTGTCGTTTACATACCAGCCAAGTTGAGCCGATACAGTACATGCTAGCCCTCATAGCGCCTGATGGGTAGGCAATATCTTAAGATGCAGTGCATGTGTGTGCTGCGGGGTGGCCTACCCCGAGTCTCGCAGGCGTCGAGCGCCGAGCACCAGTAATTTGCGAGTTGGAGAAACATGTTGGTTTTAAACAAATACTACGCTTGCTTTGTTCACGGTCCGTACAAGGTACGTAGTGCACGCCTGAAAGCCAATTATGATACAATTCACGGACATAATTTTCTCTCCTTTACAATAGATCTTTTTTATACCCTCCCCCCTCCTCTCCCACTCTCCCCCGCTCTCCTCAGGGGAGTAACATTTTTGTTCGTAATTTCTGTGTATAATGTGCCTTGTTCGCGATGAATACAACCGCAGTCACACACAACACAGAGCACGGTGGGAATGTAATAACGACGCTCGTTTGCTGCTCGTCCCGCCCGGTAAGCCCGTGCCCGCGCCCAGCCCGTGCCTCGTCCCGCCCCGCCCCGCCCTGGTGCGCGCCGGTAATTGCCGGCAGCTCACGCCGGCTCACGCAGAGGAGACAGACGACGGGGACGTGACGTCTTCGACGACTCACTTCTGCTGACCAGCTGACCAGGGCTGTACCGGGTGTAACTGTGAATACACGAGCAGTGTTGCGCGGGTTTGCATACTCAATATGGCCGCAGGGGCTCAGACCCTCGACGGGTGTACCTTGTCCTCCTCGCGGGTTGGAAGCCCTGAAAAGTTTCCGGAAAATTTCTGGAAACTTCCCGAAAAAGAAAAAACGGAAAATTTTCCAGACCCCAGAATTTTCGACCCTTGCAAAGAGGCGCGGTATGTCTATTTGCGTTGCGGCGTGCCGCTCGCTGCAGGTTAGGTTATCGCGCGCAGGCGTCGTCATGTCACGCGAATAGGGAACTTTAAACCGCACGAGCGAAAATAAATATACGCCATACAGACAGACGGGGGCGCCGTGCGACCTGCCCGCTTCCGCTGATCAAACAGCGTCGCTCCCCACTTACGATCTCGTCCTCTGCTCCCGGGTTGAGGATGGCGAAGCCGTCGGTCGTCGCCGCATCTCGCTGGTGATTGGCCGACAGCCCGTGGTCTCCTGGACACAGAGAGGGAGAGAGAGGGAGGCTAGTAGAGAAGTATTTAAAGTAAAGTTGTGGAGAAACAAAAGACGCGCGGCGGTGACGTTCAAGACGAACGGGCATTCGCGCGGGAAGGGGTGGGGAGGAAGGAGGGGGGAGGGCGCAAAGAGGCTCCAACCAAAAAATGATTAGCGGAACACGTGGCCCAGGAGGCGGTAATAACCACCGTGACAAGTGGCGCGGCTCGGGCAGGCCCTCTGCTGAGCGTGCCACACACAATGCCACCTCGGACGGCTCGCCCCGCCCCGCCCCAACCCACTCCACCCCACTCCGCCACTTCACCTCCACCGCGAGTCGCCCGCCCGCCGCAACCACTAGGAATAATAACAAACTATTCGGCGGCGGCGCGGGCGTCTCCGCCGGCTCCGATCCCTGCCGCCGCCGAGTCTCGTCTTGGAGACGACAAAAGTCACATGGCCGCGTGGAATCCACTTCCCTCCCGACACCTCCGCGTGGCACGCACACACAAACACGCACGTCAAAAATTTAAAACGAGCTACTTAATGTTGAAAGTCCCGCGACAAAATTACTCATTTTAAAACACGAGAGTCCAAAACGGCGTTTTCCACCACTCGTAATAATTGTGTGCTGTTTTACTTAAAAACCAATTTTCAGGTCTGCATTTTATTTTATATTAAATACAGTTTTCCGCGTATGGACTACCTTGTTTATTTTTTTCCATACCCTTCTGCCCGGCCTGGTTTGGTGCGACGCGCGGACAAGCGAGGGCCTAAATCACTACACCTGTCCTGTGTTGCTCGGCCGCTCACACAGACACACTTAACGTCGCTCCTCTCGCCTCTGACTCGACGCTCTGTAAACACGGGTACCCTATTAAAGCGCGGGTGGGACTTCCCTCTCCTCGAGTCTGCCGCGGGGCTGGACGGAGCCACGCCAGAGTGCGGGCGGGTGGGCCAAAGGGTAGTAGTTCACAATTCTTCGTGATTTGTCTTAATTTTTCTGAAAAAAAAAAATATTTTCCGGAGTTTTTCTTATTTCCTTTTCCTATCTTTGTTTTTTCGTTTTACCCCCTGATTTTCTGATTTTTTAAATATTTTTTTGGACTGTGTACGTTTTTTTTTTCGTTTTTTTTGTTAGTGAATTCCTTGCCACCCACGCCAGCGTGCTGCGGCTGGGAAGCGCGCGCGCCTCCTTCGCGACACTCTAGTAATGCGTTCACACGTCGTTCTCGCAGACTTGGCGCGGCGTGGCTCTCGCAATTACCCCACCACCAGGGCCGCAGGGTCGGTTGAACGAACTGTATAAACCCTCTCGTGGGGTCCTCATAGGCGAGTCCCTCATACAGTCCCCCGCCGCCGTGTCGGGAGCCGCACTCACCAGCAGCGCCGGCCAGGGCCAACAGCTGATTGCGAATTCTCGTCTCGAGGGACGCGTGCCGCCGCCGTATGGGCCGTGCCTAGCCTGCCGCCGGCGATATGGCCGCGCCCACCAAATAGGTAAAGAAGTACAGGAGACTTGCTTTCTGTACTTTGTCTCGTGGACATGCACACTTTACTTTCCTATACGAGCCCGCTTGGGTTGTTCGAGGGGGACGTTGAAATATATATCCAATCACTCACCGTCAGGGTGTTTCTTGGTGCCGCTGTCCAGAGTTATGTCAGGGGCGGATGGCGGCATGGCGACAAATCTGCAAACAAGTATGGGAAGTTGTGACAAAAGGAAACGTCAATGGAACACAGAAAACTGGAGGGGACATCATTCAGACCCTCCTAAGAAACTGTTCAATTTTTTAAGATTTCTATCGTCATTCAGACCCCTCTTTAGGAACTGTTTAATTTTTTAAGATTTCTATCCTGTAAATTTCTTTGATGTTTTCGAATGAGTGCTTTTTTTGTGAGTGCGTCGACAAAGGCAGCAAATCGAGCGTCAAATCAACTTGGCACTTGCAAAATATGGTATCAAGCCTTACACGTGTGTTTCCAGTAAGATATTTAAATGTAGACGGCGCTAACGTGGGAGCCGAAGCTTGGCGGATGTCACATTCCTATCCCATCACGCCCCAAAACGTCAATCGTTTTCCGTACCTCTCCCAAGATAGCTCCGACACCTGCCACCACAGATACCTCCAATTACCTTTGCCAGCACGCCTCGCGGACGACCCTCAAGGTCGCACTCTCGTGGGAGAGCGGTCCGACTGTGACCCAATTAAGTTACGGAACACACGCGTACATGCGGCGACTCAAAGGTGCCCGCGTATACGCACTGACCGACCGCGCGGGCCGCCCGTTCGACTGAGCTGCAATAAGTGCTCGGACGTGAGTGGGGTGGTAGGGCAGAGGAGGAGGAGGAGGAGGAGAAAGACGAAAAAGTAGAGGACCTTTCTTTCGAGGCGCGCCGCTCTGTGTGACAGGACAGGAGGTGACGCAATAATATCGCCGTCGTGAGTGACTTCGTTCCCGACCCCCAAAGTAAGTGTCGAGCGGCGCGCCGAGCCCGTGAAAACAAAAGTGATGCACAGGCTGCTGCTCGCGCCCCGCCGCTGGGCCGCCGGGCCGCCGGGCCGGGCGGGCTGGGGCAGGTCATGTCACGAGGCGAGGCGCCCGGGACGCATGGAGGGGGCCGAGCCATGGGCTGCAGGTGTGCGGGGGGGCAGCGCGCCCAAACGGATTCCGATCAGGTCGCTACTGCTGCTGCTACTGCTACTGCTACTGCTACTGCTACTGCTACTGCTACTGCTACTGCTCCTGCTACTGCTACTGCTACTGCTACCGCTACTGCTACTGCTACTGCTACCGCTACTGCTACTGCTACTGCTACTGCTTCTGCTACTGCTACTGCTACCGCTACTGCTACTGCTACTGC